CTCAGCCATCGGGTGTTCCCTTCTCCGTCGCCCCCTCTTCCCGGTTATTTTCTCGTTCCAACCGAAGAAGGGCTTTCTCGCGCGCGCGGCCGCTCGAGAGCGGACGAGGGACGACGCGCCCGCGCGCGCGAGCGCTCTCTTACTCGAACGTTGCCCCAGACAAAGGACCACCCGGATGTAGACGTGTCTCGGTCGATCCTTGATTTATAGAAAAAAGAAGGGAAACGCGACGAGGGGACGAGCGGAGAGAACGGGGGAAAACCTGGGTGTGTTCGCGCTCGAGAGAGGAGGAGGAGGAGGAGGAGGGTCGGCGAAACGGCGAAGAATGAGTTCGAAGGCGTCGTCGACGTCTTTCCGATAAAGATCGAATCCGAGTCGAAAGTTCTTCCAAACCGGTTACCCTTTTCATCGCGTTCCCCGCGGAATCCGAGATCCGTATCGAGCGCCAACGCCGCAAAGAGCTTTCGAAGATCAAAGGGACGCGTTTCCTCTTCCCGGTCGAGAGCGGTTTGTTGCATGCACGCGTCGAGAAACCGGTGCGGCGGGATGTCTGGAGCGCCGCGTAATCGCGGAAGCCGGATCGCGCGGGGCAACGCCGATCGCGCGCGCGCGCGGCCGCGGCGGGGAATATCGGTGCGAGCAATTTGTAATTACCAGGACCGACCGGGGTTATTGCCGTGCGTCGCCGGCTGTCCCGTTGGCGCGCGCGGATTAAAAACTGCAATTTATATTCCGCCGCGATCGTAGGAAATAATTAATGCCTGTCGGCGCTCGGCCGATACGCTATCATCGTCCGGCTAACGCCGCTGCCCCTCCGCGGTTATCGTCGCCGCGCTGCCGAATCGCGCGTTCCCTTTCGAAAGAACCGCCGCCGAGGAAAGAGAACGAGGCACGCTGCTAATTTTAACGTTCCATTGGAATGTTCAATTGAGTTGATAAAGTTGATAGTATATTGTACTAACCGCTATAGTCTGTACAGTGGCGTTCGAAAGTTTCCGGAGCGGTTTCGGAGCTGTTCCATAACAATGACTTGAAAGAATTCTTATCATAACATACAAACAGCTATTCTTGACGCATATTTCTCTGGAACTGAATGAACAATAAACTTTCGAACCAATTCAGTTACTGAACACTATTTCTGCAGAACGTGTCAAAAGACTGGAATGTTTAAACTAAAATTACTCTCCGAGTTCAGTCGTATATTCATTAACTATTCGACTGTTCAGTAACGATTATAAAACTAATTACAGAAAACGTCCAAAATTCAATTGAGTACAAACGATTTACCGAAATAATTTTAGTCGGAAATTTCAGTCTTATAGGAAATGTCCAAAATTCAATCGAGTACAAACGAGTTACCTAAAATAATTTTAGTCGAAAATTTCTTTCGACTTGGTAGTATTAAATACACAACTACAAACACGTACGGTATCTTCTGCAGTATTCGCCCATACAAGTATATCCTTACTTATTACATCAAAAATTGTAAACTCATCCTACCGAGGAAACATTCCAGAAACATTCCGAAGTTTCTCGTGAACATAGGACCGATATCTTCTAGCCGCGAGTTTCGACGATCGAGTCGTGTACCTACATTATTTCGACGGGACCGTTACCCGCTCGGTTCCACTGGAATGGAACGTCCCGTCTGATCAGTATCTTCGCTCGTTTCAGGTCTCCAGCCCGCCAGCACCAAAGCGCAACCCACCGCGATCAGCAAGTCCCACAGGCCCAGTTCCGGTGTTTTACCCCAGGGTCATACGCCCGGACCCGGCCCGGGTAGTCAGCAGAACAGCAGAAGCTTTGCCGCCGCCCTGAGGAACCTGGCGAAACAGGCAGGGCCGGCACCTCAGGAAGAAGAACCTCGCGCGAGTCCCAAGAACCGAGCCCCTCCCCCTCTGGTCAGGGGCCCTTCCCCCGCCAAGGTGAGTAATCGACGCTCCGTGTCCGTTCCATCGTCCACGTCTGTCGTCGAATGCTGAAACTGGCACTCGTGACGCGATATGACGTCACTTTAGATCGCGCGATTGATTTCTGTGAGCGCCTCGGATTATATAACCCTTTGCAGTCGAAGGTTTTTCACTGGAAGTATTCAACGTTTTCCGATATAGACGACGTAATTTATTAAAACAGATAAATCAACCCTTTGCGGAGGATTCTTTGAAATACGATACCTTCAGCAGATTGAGCTAAATGATACACCAGTTGCTTAATTAACAGGGAAAGAAGGAAACTACATCTCTTGTTTGACTAATTCAATCATTTGTTCGCGACTTGGTTTTCCAAATACAATTTCATCTCGCTAGAATGCCATTCGTCCGCGGAGTTAAGCAACGAAGCTATTTTATTGAGATACTTCATAGCAATAGTTTTATTTAGAATACCGAATATTCAAGTTCATAGTTTTGCCGTGTCAAATCAACTCTTATCGGACTGTGATTCTTACTAAGGTATAGTTGTTCTTAGCAAATACGTGAGAAATATTCAGTAAGATTTTTGTCAGTAATGATTCATTTTATGAGGCACTATTACAAATGTACGAGTTTCGACGCGATCCTTGTCACCTCACGCGTGTCTACCGACTGCCAGCTTGCAAGCACTCGACGGTACTTCGACGCGTTCTCTTAAGCATCAAACGTTACAGTATTTTCAAATTCGAATCCCGAGAACGATTCAGAGTATCGAGTCTCAAAACGCGAGGTACGCGAGCACTAGTCTATCGATCCTCAGACACCTGACGACGATAAAATTGAATCCACCTCAGTGCAAAGAGCAACGTTCCTCGTTTCCCGTCGCGATCCGCAGATTGGTTCCTCAGTCTCGAGCGGCGGATCGCGAGCGCGCCGCTGACGGCGCCGCCTCCTAACGAGCCGGTGTGGCATTTGAATTTTAGGAACGGTCCACTCACGAGAGAAGACCCGAAGAGATTCCCTCGTTGTACACGACCGCAAGACCCGCGGATACCAGCAAGCATAGCGTAACCGCCGCAGCTTCCGACTTGCTGGCCTGTTCCGGTTTCCAGCCGTACCGGCCCGAACGGCACCCGGCCCACGCTCCACCGGCCTTTGCCCTGGATCCTGCGGCCTATAGTCCCTATCACCACGGTCTCTACCCACCGCCACACCTCCAACACGCTTATAGGTAATTCGCGAGCCCCGAAGAACATCAACGACGACGACGCGTTCGTTGGCATCGTCGACGGCCGACGCTTAACCTGACACTGCTTTTCTTCCCGGTACCGCAGATTAGAGGAACAGTTGTATTTGGAACGGTGTGGAATGCTGAGACCGCCGTTGTTTCCCGGGCTACCCTCGTATCCCCTGTACGGGCTGAGATACAGTCCGGACATGCTACCGCCCGCGTCCCTCGGACTGATGTCTCCCGTGATGCACGAACGGTAAGCGAATCGTTGATTATCCACCGACACCGAACCCTCCCTCCCGGGTTTCAGCTTATATACGCTGGAACGAGAGAACACACGACGAGTACACACACCCCTACGGGCGACGGAGAGATCTCTGTTTTTCTAAACGACGACGCGATTCCCGTTTCAGGCTGAAACTGGAGGAGGAGCATCGGTTAAGGCAAGCACGGGAGCAAGCCGCGCTGCGGGAGGAGGAGGAGAGGAGAAGAGCGGCACGAACCTCCGCTCCTGCCGCCCCGGTACCCGCACCTGCACCTGCATCTGCCGATACTGCAGGTGAGCGAGTCGCTCCACCCCCCACTGCCTTTCATTAAAAAGAAAGCATCGATTCCGGGCGATCGCGAGACTTCTGTCCCGACGTCGCCGCTTCTCACGCGTGAAAAGAATCCTTTTTCTTTCCCTGCGAGCGTGTGTTGCGTATCGCGAGAACGCCCTTCCACTCCCGCCTCCCCGCTCTCCTCTCCGATCTCTCCTCTCGATCCAGTCCTCTCCCC